TGGGAGCAACAGGCGCTTTGGCCATATTACGCTGAATTCCTGGTACGCGCGAATGTGAGTGCATTACCGGCGGGATAAAAGGTGTGGTAAGGCCATATAAGGGCGACGGCAACATAAGTAAAATAAACAGTAAAGAGGGGGGAAAACAAGTCCTCCGGAAGAAGAGAAACGCGCGGCACCCGCCACCGACGCACTGACCTCACACACCGTCATGGATGCTTGCAGCGCACCGTCGCCTCTCAATCTTCCCGGTAATGCGGTGGGTCGCCCCAGTTTGTGGTGCCAGGGTCAATTGTCCCGGTATTGCTGGGGGGAAGCCGATAGCCAGCAATGTTTTTCCTCACGGGATTCTTGTTGTTGTTGGCACAAGGCTAAGGGGATCGACCAGCGGCGTATTGCAAGGGCACGTGCTACTCTACCAAGTGTGTGGGCCATTGAATCTATTTTTTTTTTTTAAACAAAAACAAAAATGCAAAACAAACAAACGCTGTTTCTCCCCAAATCCGGGGGATCGGTCTTGTGGTGGACACACACGCGTCACATGTGTCCACGACCTTCCGCACATGACGGGGTGGAATTGCACAAAACAAAAACAAACAAAAGAAAAACAGGCCTCTCCCTCTCCCTTTCACTCCCCAAATTGCACGCACTGTAGGATGCGGACCAAATGAGGCCCAGCAAAAGAACAAACAATCAAACAAAAATAATTACAAAATTCAACCCAAAATTCAATTTCTGTTAGGACTCACACATTAAAAGAAGTGACCACCACACACACACAAAAAAAAAGAAAAAACAAACTTACAAAACCCCAAAAGAAGTTTCATGGCGCAGGTGTTGTCCGTGAAGGAAAAGTGCACTCAACAATCCTCACAGAAGTCTTAAAACAAAATCACTCACACAAACCATCAGAAACCAACGCACACAAACGCGTACAAAAAGACAAAATGCCCACTTATTTGTCAACACCGATGTGCATGCATGTGCGTGGCGGCTAATTAATTCAAAAGGCGGCGTTTCCCGTAAGGTCCATAACCCCCCCACCCACCCTTTTTTTTTCTTTTTCTTTTCTCGCCGGTCTGTGCAGGCGTCCGTGTCAAAAGGCACAGTGCTTGCGCCTGTTCCACAACGCGTGCCGGATGACAACATGGGCGTCTCTATTTGACTCTCCGTTACCCCTCCTTTCACCACCCCGCCAACAACAACAAAATGGGACGCATATGCGCGCCTTTTTTTTTTCTCTTTTTCTTTATTTTCACATTTATTTGTTCGCCCGCTTTCTTTTTTTCTTTTTTTGTCGAGGCCGCTCGTCATAATCAAAGAAAGGTAAATAGATTTTTTCTTTTTTTTTCTTTTTTCCATTTTTGTTTCCCTCCGCTCTCCCCACTCCTTATTCTTACAAACAGACACATGTACACACAAACAAACAAAAACATAAGGCAGGTGTATTTTACACCAGCCAGAGAAAAATAAAAACAGATAACACGGTCTGTTATTCCTCTCGCATGACGATATTTGCATATGCGTTTATTTGCAAAGACCGGAGTTCCAAATATTCCTTCTGTCGCATCCACAGAGACGTCCTTCCCCTTTTTTTCCTGTTTCTTCCTCGCTCTCTTTGGGGAACTCATTTCCTTTTCTCTTGCGCGTATCATTTTTTATTCCATTCATTCCCTTTGTCCCATTCCAGCCAACGAAATATTGCTGCATGTCTGCAACACGGGCAGTTGCCACCGTATGACACAAAGGCAAGGGGAAAACAAACAAAAAAAAGGGCCATAAGGCAACATCATCATAAACTTGCAACGCATTGCAACGGACAACTCTCACACGGAGAATAAAAAATCGGTAACGGAGTGGCAAGAGTGAAGCTGGCGCCAATAGAGTCACTTGAGACGGAAACAGCTGTGGTGACAACCCGAGCAAAAACACAGCCATCTTGCTTGCCGCCGTTTTTTTCGTTGTTTTTACCATTTCCAGGCGTTTTCACTTTACCCAAAACAGCGGGGGTTGCTGGTGTTTGACATTTACTCCTTGGTTCTGTACACTCTTTGATTTTATTCTCCATTTGGGCTTGCGTCTTAGGTCGTGCATCTTTGTCTTTCCCCGAGGGCGGTAGTTGGATTGGGTCGCTGTGTTTCACAACGGCTGTTCTTGCAAACAAATTACCGCGGCACTTGCTGCGGTTTTGCGACAAAAGACTTTCCAACTTTATGGCAAGCGGCTCGGAATTCGATCCGGTATGCCGCACATGACAGATAACATGGTTTCCACTGCGCTCCACGCAGGCACACAACTCCTCCACATCACTGTTGAATATGTCAATGCCCAACACAATCAACTCCCGCAACGTTCTGTTACGGTGCAACGCCTCAAAAACAGGCAGAAGTGGATGGCGCGAGAGGAGGCCAATTGAGCTCGTACGGCCGGTGGACAGCCGACTCCTCCAGTGACTACCACACAGTGGATGCGCCACCTCGTGACTTTGGTGCGATAAGTCTAAAGACAGGAGTGTGTTGTTATCGGCAAGGGCGTTGCCAATAATACGGAGGCTCTCCGCACTCATACTACACCCACGTAGGCTCAGCTTAGACAAAAAAGTCGCACCAGAAATGCCAGCCGCCAAGGCGGTTACCGCCTCTTCGCTTAGAGGGATTTGCAGCTCAAGACTTTTTAACTGCGTTTTTGATGAACACAAGCCCGCTGAGGCTAAACAAAGTGGTTCAGCCAAAGACTGCGACAAATCCCCTTTTTTATGGTCACAATGAAAGGATGTGTAACAGTCACTGAGCGCAAGGTGCTGCAGTTTGGATTGGCACAAAGCCGTTTCAAGAATCGACCCAAAGGCGGCTGCATCAAAATCTTTTCCCCTGAAGCCACTGTAATGAAAAGATACCAACGTGTTCCCTTGACTCGAGTGAAGAAGCTTTATGAATTCATCCTTCATTTTCTGCGTCAACTGTTCATGAACAAGCGCGTGTCGTGTTCCTTCGGCTCCCACGCCGCGGCTAAGCGACAGTTCCGTCAGGGTCAATGAGCGGGTGGCACAGAAGTTGATAACGCGCAGCACACCATCAGCCGAGAGAGGGTTGTCAATAAGCGACAGCCGCCGCACACACGAAGGACTCGCCTGAAGAGCTTTCAGCAATATGTTGACACCCTTGTCCGTGATGTCATTGCCGGACAGCGTAAAAGTCACCAGCCCATCATCACAAGTAATGAACGGGACGAGCGCTTGCACGCCGTCATCCCCAATTCGCAGTCCATGCAGATCTAATGTCAACATCCGTCGGCCGCCATCAACCGCTCCCCTTTCATTCCGTTGGTTCAGAAGGAGTTCACAAAGGACCTCCGCTCCTTCTGATCCAATCGGCGCCCATTTGCCGTAAAGCCTGCGCCACTCCGCCGGGGGAATCACAGTTTCCTGCGGCGTGCAGCACTTCAGAAGGAAGGCAAGGCATTTGGCTTGAAGCCTTTTTTTCAGGAAAGCCGCTTTATCTTCAGCACCACTCGCAGACCGCGCAAAGTCACAGCAGCAAAAAACTTTTCGCAGCTTTTCTTTCATTCAGAGAAATACAACTCACCCTTCCCTCCCCAAACGCACACACACACACACACTACTCCTCGCCGCCCACCCTAACCCTCTCCCCTATCCGCACGCAACACTATTCTGTATTCATCATAGGCGTTCCGTTGCAGACAGCATCATCGTGGACAAGAGGCAACAAAATATAATGAAAAAAAAAAAGAAAAATATATTCAAGGAGGGAAAAAAAAGCAACAGCAAAAGAGAAGCACACGTGCTCATCAGTCTGCCAACCAGGCAAAACAGACGCTCCACACCAATTCTTGTTTATTTTTTGATGCTTAATTTTATCCGCTTTATTTTTTTTTCTTCAACATCTCCATTCACAACCTGTACCCTGACCCAGATGCGCATGCGTGCGTCTGTGTGGGGCTACGGCGTATCAAAACAGCCACACACACACACACGCCCCTTCAGCCGGATGTAACCAGGACGCACACAGCCCACTCAGATGTGCGAGGCATTATCGAGGAGTGAAACAATACAGTTGCGTCTCCTTTTTTTTGTGTGGTTACTTCTCTCTTTCCTCTTCTTTGTGGGGCTTGCTTCGAGGAAGATGCAGGTCATCAGGATCCTGCAGACCCCCGCCAGATCCTTTGGCAGTCGGTGAGTTGTAGCGACTAAACCCTGGGGTTCCCTTTGGAATGTTATCGGCGCTGTCGTTTTTATCATCATTGTTACTGTCGTGTTTCAACGTGGTGGAAGAAACGCTACGCCATTCTATTCTTTCCCGCATCGAATTGGCTACCGGACATCGCATTTGCAGCTTCTCAGCAAACGCCATCACATCCTCTTCAGACGCATTCGGGGCGTCGATATAACCCACTACCACAGTCTCGTGCCCAACCTGTGTGCCGGTCTTATTCTTCTCCAGCCGCATGGTTACATTTTTCACATCGATGCCTTGTTTCACCGCAACCTCCGCCGCA